CAGATGTGAACTGCCAAGGGGTCTGAAGGATTCCCACACTAGTTATGAAGATCCGGGTTTTTTTGGGGGGGGAGGGGGGAGGGATACAAAAGAAAGTCACATAAAAGCAAGTAAAACATGTTCAATGCATGTACAGTATCAACTGTCAACTTGGCCAAGTGCTCAGTTTTTACATTCTTACAGCCAGTTGAACAACCTGTCAAAAATGTACCCCAAAGCAAAACACGACAACGTTTTATTTTACTTTTTTTTATTGTAATTCAAGGACCTCTTGCTTCTTACAAAAATGGTAATTGTAGAATCAATTGCCCAGCCCAACGTCCGGCCTGGCAGAGAAGATTCACACATCAGACTAGTCAACGTTTCTCGATGTGTCGAAGGGAAAAAAAATGTGTGTCCAATTTTCAAAATGTCTGAATTTTTTTTCCTTTCTGTTTTTCGTAGAAAGTTTTGCAACAAACCCCCAATTGTTATCAAATATAAATAAAAATAAACAAGAGATGAATACATCGTATCAAAAGAGTACGAAGAGGTGTTTAGCGTTTTTTTTTTTCCCATGCAAGTAATGATCTTTTTTTTTTGTGAGGTTTTTTTTGTCACTTTTCATAATTTAATATGTATATAGTTTACATGCAAACATTAATTAATGCAAGGTACGGCCAGTTCGGTCTGGTTTCTGGGATGCAAAATAATTCAAGTGGAGGACTGGAAGTGGCAACAGCTCCCACAGGTAGCCATTTTTTTCTCATTTATTGGTGGGTGAGGTGCAAAATTACTGCCGTACCACCCATGCTAAGGAAAACAAAAATAATGCCATATAACAAGGCATAACCGCTGGCGTTGATGCTGAAGCAGACCATCTTTTCTCTCTCAAAGTATCTGACTCACAAATAGTATAACACTCCGATATTATATTATCCATCTGTGCAACAAGGGGACACAGCAGTTTTATTTTTGTGGTAGCAGGGGTCTGCAAGGAGGACTTAGCAAAAGGCGAGATGATTATATTTAGCCTGTGGCTTTCAAGTTGTTATTAAACTACAAGTTCCATATGTCTCACAATTCCCTATTAGTCTCTTAATGGAGCTGAGAAGTGCTACAAGGCTCAGAAAACCCTAAAGGTGTTTGGGGCACACAAGATACTCCATCTGGTACAGCATGCTGGTAAATAGTAAGGCTGTTTGTTTAATAGATTGTTATCTTTTGTGAGCAGGACCAGAGCACCTATACATTCCAAGGTAATGCACTGTAAGTTCTCCATGCCTTGCAAAGATTCTCCCTTGCTTCCTTGGCATGGGCCTGGCTAGAAAAGTTCAGATCTGGTATCAAGTCCCAGTTTGCATTGTTTTAGTAACTGTCAAGTTTGTGCATGCTCAGTGACAGTTAAGCTGCAAGCCGTGCTATAATAATACGTAAGAGAAGGGGGCAAAGAAAGGTTTAAATCATTGGGGCCTGTTACTAAGAACTGGAGATGTGAAAACAGAAACTGGAGGTATGGCTCATAATGAACATTTGCTGTTTCATTTACTAAAGGAATAACAGATGAAATCTGATTGATCACTATGGGCCAATGTTTTCTTTTCTCCAGTTTAAATAAACCCAGTACAACTAATAGAAAAATATCAAAACATCTGAGCTTATGTGGACAAAAAATTCAACTGAATATTTTTACAGATTGGTGACATCTATCAGAAATAAAATACAAGGACAGAAGATGGTCCCTCATTGACAGATATGGGCCAACGCTAAAGAAACAGTACAAAGACTCAACATTTACTAATATCGTTTTCCTACTTTGTTTCCCCCCTGGCAACCTCTGGACCTCTTGTTGCTGAAATTAGCTAAAGAATTATTAGGGGGCGCTGGAAAATACAGAGAAGATTGCATTGTTCCTTTTATATCACATACTAGCATTAGTTTTTACTAACAAAGGGTTGGAGCTTGTACATGAGGGGCATCATATGTGCCTAGGGCAGACACACAGTTCCTGGGTAGGGCATGCTGGAACTTGCAGTTTTGCACTTACTTGACAGCCACAGGTTGAACCTTTGATTTAAGTCCAGAAGCTCCTTGAAGTTACAGCAGTGCATGAAGGATGTGAGAGAATTGGATTACATTTGAAGATCTTGTAGACAGACGTCGAGGGGGAACTAAAGGATGGTTCTTGGTAGCGCAAAGCTTCTTACCAGCCAAACAGCAGAGTCCAACATTATACCGAGGATTCCTAAAGCCCTAGTGGAAACTACAAATAACGAACCCAACGTCACTGTCAACTTTCCAAATAAAAAACCACCAAGTAGAACCCACATCAGACATTTAATCTTAACACATTTTGATGCAAAGGCCGGGAAAGTGGAATGGAATAGGTTATGTGTCAGTTTGGAAATGGCTGCATAGCATAAAGCATTCATCACTCAAAATATGTCAGTCAGCTTAGTACTAGAGGATCTGATATTAGAAGGAGGTCCTGCTACCACAGACAGGCTCAAACTAAAAGACAGGGTAGCTGAGTTTGACCCTGCAGTGAGAACTGTTTGTACTTTTTAACAGTCAATCTCAGGGGGACAAGGGTATCCCCAGGTCCATTCAGGGGGACATGGGTGTCCCCAAAGCCAAGTAGATAACGAGACTATACAAGGGTTGTGCAGGCAGATAAGATAGTGAGCAGAGATGTGTGTTTTACTCATTAGTGTCTGTTTTTTACACTGTTTATGAAGCTCTTCACACCCGTCCATCACCGAGTGCGTTGTCCTTTGCTGCATGCAAACGGAAACACAATAGCAATTGAGAATAGGGGGAGGCTGCGGGAAGACACTGCAGGCTTTGGTGCAGTCCATTTACATAAAGCATGTTCATTGTGAGCTTACTCCAGGTGAATGTTATAGTGCCGTAAAAAAAAAAAAAAGTGCAAATGTTTTCTATGAATTACCTATTCACCAGTGGCACTACCCTGATACTGGTCAACAGGTAAAACACAAGTTCAAATGATAAGTTCAACCAGTCACAACCCCTTTAAGCACAAACTAAGCTTTAGGCGCAGCCTAAAAAATAACCCCATCATGCTAAATGGCTTCGCTTACAACACTGAAAATATTTTATAGCTCATCTGAGGAGAGCACAGACCAGGTGTGACTGTGTGGGAGAGAGGGAAGGCCGTACAATTCAGCTTATAAAACAACAAGGTTCCATGCTTTCAGCGCAAAATGTTTTTTTTTTGTTTAATTTTCAAGTCTTTTTCATGGTTGTTTTTATAGAACTTTTTATATTTTTTTGTTTTATTTTGATTTTTTTTTCAGAAAACATGAAAGTTGTGCCTATTAATTTTTTCTTCGCTTCAGGGATAGTAAAATAAAAAAACAAAAGAAGTACAAAACATTTGGTCGCATTTATCCATGAGCCTCAAATGTGGGAGATTTGTCCAACATAGCACTGGATGAAAGTTGGCAATCTTGGCATTTCTTGATACGTCTCTTGCATAGCCCTGTGGGGAAATACAGTTCCATTGACATGCAGAGCCACCAGCGAGTAAGGGGCATATTGAAGGACTGGGTAGTATACAGCTGGGCTACTGATATCCAAAACTGACTGCTACACCTATAACAGTCTATGATGTTAAACCCGAAATTTGTAGGTTGAAGCGAGTTCTAATTTTGCTTTCTCCTGCACCAAACTAAATTAATGCCTGCATGAAATGGCAGGCCAACGATAATTCCAACACTTTCTGCAAAATTGTCTCAACACCTTCAAATCTGGTGTTCTGAGAATGTAATAAAAAAAAAAATCTTTAGTGGAAAAGAGGGTTACTTTGGCAGGAGCACAGCCTTCAGTATATACATCTACCCTTGCCTCCTAAACAAACAAAATCCTTCCACTTGATTTCAGTCACAGCAAAAGAATGCTGCATTTTTGACAAAAATGTGCACTTACAAACAACTGATACCCAAAAGCCCTTTTCATTTAAATGAACAATTATAAACATGCAGATATGTTTGGAATGAAATGTTGGGCTACATTTGCATGACATTCTTGCGCCTGAGCATTCCTAAAGAGATAAAGTGAAAAGTACCAATACACTGACAATATATTTTTGAAAATTTGACAGTAGGGTTCCTGGAAACCACCGGCTACAGACTAAAATATTTGTTGAAGCTTTTCTTCAGAATTCCAGCCAATGTACCGCCACATTTGTTAAAAAGCAACTCAATATGATCCATAAACTACCATTGCAATTCTTTCTGATCAATTTCAGCCCCATGGATTAAATATGGTTTATTATGTTATCATATCAATCCGTTTGTTGTATTTTTAAGACAAAAAGAGTGCCCAGTCAAGAATCTCTCTTCAAAAATAATGTAAAAAATGTTTTATCTTAACGTTGTAAACCACAATCCAGGTGCTCGTTAACACAACAATGGCTTGTTAACATTTCACAAAAGCCTTTTTTAACTATGGGTGTCAAATGTCTGCTGTCATCCAATAGATGGAAGGGATGGTGGCCCAAACAGGTACAATGGCATGATTAACACTGTCTAAACTCTTCATATATAGTGTAATAAAAAATATAGGTATATTCTAAAAGCCCATCTTTTCCAGTCACCTTTTCTTTTACTGAATACTATAGTACAAAATGTAAGTAAGGAGCTCTTTGCAGGAATGAGAGGAAATTAGTTTGAAGAATAACAGAGTCATGTTGCGTGCGTGTAAGACCACTATCTGTAAAATGTAGGCACTTAGCAATGAATGAAACGTGGTAAAACATTTGCGACAGTGCACAAACCAGCCATAAAGTTTGGTAAGTTACGTAGGAATAAAAACTGTCCCTTAAAACCCCCTATATTCTCTACCAACGTCATCCACCCAAAGTTTGACTCTTCAATATATTGTGCGAGACAGGAGTCTAAGATATATATCTTTTTTAAATACATTTTTGTAAATAAAAAAAAAAAAAACAACAACTCCTGAAAGAGTCAATGACATATCTTGTCAGTTAAATGCTGCATTATATATACGGTAGATTAAAACGTAAGACAACACTACTAAAGACAGAACTGAGTCAAGAAACTCCCCTTTATGGGTGGAGAAACAATTCAGCAGTGTCCCTAGTTACGATCTACGACAAATAAAATATTTGAATCTCTATTGTTGCATTTTTTTTTTATATGACCTCCGAAAATGTCTTTGGAAAATCAGCTTTGCCCTTAAAATAGATTACTATTATGTTATATGCACAGAATAGATACTATATTCCTCATATCATGCCCACCAGATATCTCTATTGTGTTGTGCTTGCCGTTATTTTTATTTTATCGACTATATGCTACATATGACTGCAAAGGCCACATGGCGCTAGCAGAAGGAGATCTGCCCCAATTATGGACCGGTTTATTGCCATAGGACAGGCTGACAGCTCAAGGTTTGGCTGAACTTAAAGAGTGGTCATTTGTACACCTGGTAAGCAAACATTGCCACAGTGTTACCTATAGCCCAAAGATACTCAAAGCATTTGGCACTGGGGCAGAGGTCTTCCTGCCTTGACAGTTGTATGGCACAGGAAACCATAATAAAAATGATCAGTCAGCCCAAATCTAAGAGTGTACAATCATCTGTAGCACGGGGTGCTGTTGAAAGTATAAAATGGAAGGAACATATAGACTGCCATGAACTAAGAATCCTCAGGGTTGCTCAGTGCAAACAACATGACCGTAAACATATATAGCATGAGTTTGGGAACAAGCACTGGTCAACGATCATCGAAGCCGGTTCCCAATTTGACCTTTAAATACATAAAAAAGAAAAAAAGAAAGTATGCCACTAGAAATACACATTAGTGCAACTTCATTGACCAAATAATGTGCAAAACTCACACTAACCAAAGACATGCATACTCACACCTGTGCATTACCAAAATCTAGGCTATGCTGAGGACAGGAGAAAAGGCTCGTTGGTGAGTTTTAGGACAGTGAACAGACTGGTGCAGAGACAGGCCCCCGTGCACTCATTGAATTGCGCTGAGGGTGCCTCTTGCACTAAAGGAGTTACATATCATAATAGCAGCACACACACAGACACACAATACAAAACATTTGTTTAAAGGGTAACCATCATTTTTTGTTCAGCAGTCATGATAACTGCCACTCAGGCACCACAATATTTGTAAAATATTCATCTGTTGACTCGCCACTAAAGGGAACCTCTGAGGATCCTTTTTCGATTTGGTGTGCCGCTGAGCCTGGTTAGTAGAGTGTGTCATGTTAGGTGGCGTCTCATACCAGCAAAACAACGCCCTTGGCTAAACGTGTCATGCTTCAAATGCCAACTGTCTTACAAAACTAAAAATAAATGTCTATGGCACAGACACCACTTCTGAAGAGAGCAGGACAAGCAGAGGTTGTGAAACAACTGCATGGTCTGTCTTGGGTCATGTATGTCTGTATGAACAAGTTTCAGTTGCAATTCCTCTGCTAAGCAATGGAAGGTTGGTGGAGAGTGGATGCGATGGCAAGTATGACTGGTCAAAAATTTCTCAGACATTTGTGGAGGATGAAATAGAAAGGTGAAGAGCTTGTCAATAATTCCCCTTCTATTTTTTAAAGTCTATATAAATGATTAAAAAAACAACCTCAATACTTTCCAGTCCTAAACTTGCTGCTCATACTACTTTTTCTCCAACCTCCAGGCTCGCCATCTTGTCCTACGTCCCAAATTCTGATTACTACAAAAGAGGCATTGTAACTCTCCCCAAAAGGAAGACTGGAAATATGACATATGCCAGAACAATTTAACACCGAGGCCTGCTCTGGCTCTGCCCTGCTCGTTCCTTTTTTCTTCCTTAATTTTTGCTCTGCATTTTCTCCTACGGTCGCTGCCTCTAATCTGCCGAAACATACTCTGATGTCACGGCGATCTGTTGGCTGATGATAAAACTCATCAGTAGTGATTGAAACAAGAGCCCCCCCATCTCTGTCACCCGTGCTCCTGTTGCTTCGGCTTCCTGGTGAAGTGAAGGGCAAGACTGAGAACGTGCTTTGGCTCCCTCTGCTAGCACCAGTCATCCTCGTCTGCTTCATGGTAATAGCTTCGAACTCTGGGAGCTTGGCCGGACCCTGAACTCAGCCCTAAGGTGTAGTGGTAGCCGTTGGGGACCCTGCAGAGCTGGTGGGAATGGGAAGTGAGTGAGGACACATAGGAAGTCCGAGAGGAACGTCCGGAATTGCTGGCCAAGGCCTCCTCAAAGGTTAAGGTGTCCTCAGGTAAAGGGCAGTAGCTGTCAGCATCTTGACGTGGTCCTAGGTATGGGTCAGAACCAATGCGCGTGACTGTGCAGGCAGAGTGGCTTGGGGATTCACTGTAAAGCAAGGTATTGTGCTCTGATACCCCCCGGCTCAGGCGCCCGGGAGAGTAAATGGAACCCCCAAAGTGTACAGGGGAAGAGTGAGCTGTCCGATATGTGACGCTGGGCCGTGGAGTGAGCGGTGTCTGTGGCAGCTGCCTCCGGACTCCGCGGCATGGGGTACTAGCACCGGAGCTGGTCAGACGTGGACTCCCGCTGGCCGAACCACTGCCCTAGATTGAAAGGGTGAAAAAGCACATCAAAACGGCACAGGAACACAGAATGGAAAAAAGAAACACAACGGGGCACACCACGCACACACATGGAATTAAAAAGTCGACAAGACAATGAGGCAAGTGGTCACGCACAGACACAAGACCCGCGGCACAAAAAGGATAGGCAAAAGAAGGTTGAAGGATCACGCCCAACACAAACATAAACACCACACCAAATAAAAACAAACAGCAGGAGACAAAAAGTTGGCACAAACACAAGATAAGAAGATAGGCAATGGGTATGGAAAGAAGAGAAAAACAAAGGAGAGTTTAGAGAAGAAAAAAACACACAGGTCGAGTTGACAGCCTTAAAAAACCACAAAACATGCAACATATCATGATTAATGTACCAAAATCAGGTATTATCACAATGCAATTTTCTTTGACCACATATGGGCTTTATCAATGTGGGTGCCAAAGTGGCATTGTGGTTAGCGCTAGTGCCTTGCAAAACAGATGACCCATGTTTTAGTCCCACCAACAGTGTGTTTGTGTGGCCTTCAAAGCCTTTGAAATACAGAGGTTTCTACTGCATGAACTTTCAATCTGCACTGGAAACATGAAATCTGATTGCTTGCTGCTGGCTGGACTTCAAACATCTCTTGTGTCATCTTCACCTATTTAAAACCTGCAATGTCTTCTCTCAGTTTAATCATATGTTAAAAAAGCAACTTCACTGGCTTAGTGGTTAGCACCTCTGGCTTGCGGCACTTGGGTCCCCTTGTTTTTAAAAATCCCCATCAGGACACTATTTGCATGCAGTTTGCATGTTCTCCCTGTGCTTGTGTGGATTTCCTCCCACACTCAAAAGACATGCTGGTAGGTTAATTGGCTCCTGCCTAAATTTACACTAACGTTTGTATGTGAGATAAGGACATTAGACTGTAAGCTCTTTGAATGCATAGTATGTAAAATGCTGTGTATAGTTATTGGTGCGATATAAATACCAATAATAAATAAACAGAATGACAATCTATCAAATCCTCATTGAAGATAGATTTTGCCAATGTAGAAAGATTGTCTGCCTGTTTTTAAACCATGTTAAAGAGACACTGCCACCAACTAAAAAACTGCAGGTAAAAGCACAGAAAAATCAAGTACAGTAAATCCTTACTTTCAGCATTTTTCCTTTCCATAAACAATGTTTTATTCACTTGACTTTGAACTTGCTAAGGAATTTGACTGCTACATGAATAGTCAATTGCCTAGCACAGCCCACTCCCTTCTTGCATGTCATAGTCCTATCCTTTTGGGAGTGTCTAATTACTGTCTGTGCTGGCCCACCTCCTCTGCCCCTCTCTTCTCCTCTTTACATAACATTTTATGTAGCTGCCGTGGGAGAATTGAAGGGGAATACTACAGGGTGTCACTTAAGTGACAGTTCTGAGTCTGCTGGGGCTGCAGACATCACATCCAAGATGGCAGAACCCAGCAGCAATCAGAAGGCTTTGGTATGTCTACAAGGAAGGCTTTTGCAGGTAAAAAATATGCATAAAATAATTATATGGGAGGATTCTTGTTTAAACGAATGGTCTAGTGACAGGGAATCCACACAGGACAGCTGGAGAAGTAACTTTCCTTAAGGCAGCATTATATTGTTCTTTTCATTTTTGAAGGGTTTTGACTCTCCAACCAGGTGGAGGAATGCAGATTGACCAGTCTTCTTTCAAACAAACGTAGGCCTCATTCACACTTGCGTGCTGCAAGCACACATTTTGCACAAAGGTTTTTGTGCATTGGTGCATTTAAAAAATACACAGCATTGCACGTTTTCAACTAAGGGTGAAGAGTTTGGAGAAGACAGGAGAAGTGAAGAATCTAGGACAACATAGCTGAACTGGAAAGTGAGCTGAATTGGATAATTTGTCCAAATCAACTATGTTGTCCTAAATTGTTCACTTCTCCTGCCTTCTCCTAACCCTTCACCCTTGTGTGAATAACCCCCTAAGTGTTCTTGTTTGAAGCAGAAGGCTCCCTTCATTATGCAATAAAAGTACATGAGAATGCATGTACACATGCCTGCATTTATTCTTATAGTACGGCTTTTTAGCGATGCAGACGCACACATATGAACATATGGCACAGAGATTAAAATTGGTTTCCAGCTGTAGTGTATTATGCAGTAAAGAGCGTGGTTTACACAGCCTAGGTGAGATGTGAATGGACATAGGAACAGAACTAATGGCTTTGCATTGCTGATAACAAGTGACATCTGGCATTAGCCATGATACACAGAATTTTAACCTTGTACAATAAAAGGTTTGGTTTTTATAAACATTTGCACACGTACACTGACCCTAATTCTGTATGCAAGGACACATACAGGAGAAGATAAGAATGTAACCTACATCACACTCCAACATAACACAGACCCACCAGCTGATTGTATAGTGGACACATACATATGAAGACACCGTCATACAATTTAGCTGTTAACAGTTGTTTCTCAACTGGCATCAGCATGGGAATCGTTTATGGAACCTTTACAGGTAACCTTTGCTGAGAGAAATACGGAGGCTGCCCTTTTGGATCTCTCCTTGTTATTTGCCTGGCTATCATACTGACTTTTGGCTTTTGCTGGCCAGGAACAAGCAGGCAGCAAAGTCAAAACCCAGCACACTTGTTTTTTACGGCAGTGACTGAAAGTGCTGGAGTCTAAGAATTAGATTGACAGTCAGGCAAACTGGCATATTCAGATGGTGATCAGGAAATGTCAAATCTTAATTAAAGAACTCCTGGTCTAATTAAAAAGCAGAATGTTCATTTAACAAGTAGAGGTGCTGATATGATTAAATACAACCAAATAACATTTTTACTTCTACAGAAAATTGATTTTATAAACTCATAACCAAGAAATGATGTCATGCAGCCAGTAGAGATGCAAACCAAGCTCAGAGGAGATCATCTCTAATTATACACCATCCACAAAATAGATTTGACAGGTGCATTCCACTAAACTATATATATATAATGTTGTATTATGTAGTTACAGAAAAACAACTTTCGGTGTGAAAAATCATGGGGTCACCATGGCTCTGGCATCGATAAACATTTAGAGTAATAAATTAAATAGCGATGACCTGTGTGTGGCCAGATTAGGAAGCTTTCCAGAATCTGCCGTATGTGAGCTGTGCTGTAGTGAAGGGAGTAAGTGGGCACAGACACAACTTCTTTAGGGTATCAAAGACCGAGCTATGTATCAGCTGCTCCCCCCATTGCCAGCAGAGGTGGATAAAGTTAATACTTGGTTGTATTTAGTGATTTCAGAATTCTCTCATTATCAAGCAAAATCCTTGCTTCATACCAGGCTGGAGTTCTTTCTTAAAGAAAAGATAAAGCAATTTTTTTTTCCAACAGAATGGGGAAGGGTTAAAGCCCCTGTTAAGTTCACTTCCTGTCTTTGGGACACAGCGGGAGTGAGGAAAAATCTCTCCAAAGTGAGGGGAATTTTCTCTTAGACAGCTGTCACCCAAACTAATGTCCCTATTGGAAGAATTATTCTATAATTCTTTTCCTGTGACTAATGTAGACTTTTTTTTATTTCCCATCACTTTCTCTCCCAGGGAGCTTTGTAGTGTTCATGTGAGATAGCACTAGACCTAGGGTGGTTGGTAGGTCTGTGATGGATCCTCCAAGCTGTGCCCCTTAAACCTGTGAAAATTCTGGGTAAGGAGCACTGTGTGTGAATAGAAGGTCTTGGAAACTACTAATACACATTTGGAGGCCTTCTTCCTGGGTTTTGATAGTGTTAGATCTTCTGGTCGTGTTATCCAATTAAGTGAACATTGTTCTCCAACTGGCTGGAGATTCCAACACTTTCTATTCATGCAAGGTGCTCACCATACACCTCTGAAATTTTCTGTCTCAGGTGACAAAGGTCAACTGGACATACAGAGTGGGAGAAAGAAGAGGCCCTCTAGCCTTTCCCTACTGTATTAAATAAAGTGGTTTTGTGCTGTCTGGGTCCTTACTGGAGAGTTTTCACATCACTTTCTGTTCATCTGACGCCCTACCACCAAGACAGGAAGTGAGCAAAAATTTCACTTGTGGGAACTGAACAGTAAAAAAAAAAAAACTGACATGCACTAAATGCTTGCTATTCATGATCTATTCCCCTATTTGGGAGTGTACCATCATCTCTGCAACTTCAAAGACATCTATTCAAAAATAATTTTGCTACTTCAAAAGAACACATATATTTAATATATCACTTGTTTATTAATCTATCATATAAAATCATAATATATAAAAGCTTATTATAAGGCTGGTACAAGTTTCATTTTTAATGCCTCCCTCTACACAAAACCCATCATCAAAAGTTTGTAAACATACAAGTAGAACAAAAGTATTTATGTGTTGTAGTTTCGTGTGGTGATATTTCGACAACTCTCTACGACTGTTTTCCATGAACAATGCTCACTTCTTCAACAGAACATGCAGTTAGCAATTTGTGCAAACAACCAAACAAATTATTACAAATCATTTGCTTTGCTCTTTACATTCGAGTCTGCAAATCAAGGGAGGAATACCATGTGAGGAGCTCTACTGTAAACCCTGGTTAAGGAAATTAAGGACCATTGTTTTCTAATAGACCTACACTGAGGATATAGGAAAATAGTGGATAAATGACTGAAATGACTCCACCAACTCAACATGGGGATGGTTTATGCATTCACCCCCATATCCATATACAGTTAAAACACATTGTTCAGAAACATATTTGTATATGGCAAACTCCTCTCTACAAAAAAGAAGTAGATGCACCAAGGGTAATAGAGACGAAAGTTCATCATTTTCTTTGCTTTTGGAGGGTGATATCTCTTATGTGGTATCTCTTGTGTGTTTTCTCCCTAGATCCGGAGTTGAATATACTGTACACTGAGTGGTCAGTTTATTATAACCACATGACGTTTGTAGGCAAATTAGCTATAATTAGCTATAATTTCGCGCTGAAGTTGCTAGAGGGCCAGACCATTATAAATAGGGAAGCAGGTTGTTTACCACGACAGTAGAAGTGATTGTTTTCTGAAGATATGGGTAAACAACGCAATTTAACAGCCTTTGAACGTGGGATGATTGTTGGCGCGAGCCATGGAGTGAGTATCAGCAAAACAGCAGAATTTGTTAAATGTTCAAGAGGGGCTCATTGTTTAAGTGTTTAAAGACTGGACTGTCAGCAAAAATCTGGGTCTGAACGTGCGAATTGTGGCTGTCAGCGACTAGTCAATGTTAGGGCAGAACGGAGAGTGGCAAGACAGGTACAAGACAACAGAAGGACAACAGTGCAGTGTCAGAGTCCTCGCATTACACCTTTCAACATCTCGTGGAGTCTCGAGGCGGCCCAACGAAGTCATCTCGTGGAGTCATCTCGTGGCCCATCGAAGTACTGATGGGGTGGTCATAATAATCTGGCCACTCAGTGTATATAGAGCCAGACACATGATTTAATAATTATGACTGCTTGTATACACGAATACCTGCCTACTGTCCATATTCTCCTGAAGAAGTAAATGTTGTTCATAAAGCATATAGAGTCATCATAATTCCACCACTGGAAGTTACAAATATTTTTCTAATACTTATGTTCTACTTGTATGATTACAAACTGTTGATGGTGGGATTTGGGTAGAGGAAGATATCGAAAACAAAACTTGTCCCAGCCTTATACAGTAATCAGCTTTTATATGTGATGATTTTATATGAATGATTAATAATAAACAAGTGATTTTATCATTTTAAAAAAATGATGAAGGTCCTAATTCTGCTCTACTTATAAAGTGACACAAAACTTAGGAGTTAGATCTTAAAAATGCTTTGAAGTATCTTAGCTATTAGCAATCCTGGACCTTATTTGTGCATCACTTGGCTATAGATCCTCAAATCATCTCTGAATTGGTGCTGACACTGTCCTTCCTTCTGGAGGGGGGCTACTTTTGTTCCCCATGGTCCCTGTGTGTGTTGTAAAATAGCCACCGCTCCAAGCTCGCTCCTGTGATGAACTACAATCTTAATACAAATTAGTAAACTAAATGTCAGATTGTAGTCCATCATGGGAGCAAGCTTGGAGCGGGGGCTACTTTACAACACACACAGGGACCATGAGGAACACAAGTAGCCACCCTCCAGAAGGAAGGACAATGTCAGCACCAACTCAGAGTTTTGATTTGAGGATCTACAGCCGAGTGATACACAAACTGTTGGCTATTAGTTTCAATGAAGCACTGAGATCTTCAGGAATGCTGAATTAAGTTTTACTTGCTTGAAAGAAGGATACAGGTATCAATATACAGCATTGTAAAGGACACACACATATACAGTATATACAGTTGTGTGATAAAGTGTTGGCCCCCTTCCTGATTTTTCATTGTTTTGCACAATGAAAGTTCTGTAAAACGCCCTACGCCCAAAGAAGTACAGGAGCTTCTTTGGGGCATATTTGCCGCGCGTATCCATTAGGATACAACCGGATAGCCCTCGTAAACGCGCGTTTGTCGCACGTTTCTTTTACCACTAATCGCGGTGCAAACGCGTATATTCCGTACGCCCAGTTGTGAACCCAGCCTAATGCAGGCTTCAGCTATGGTGGTGCTGAAGTAATGAGGATACACTTGCCTGGTTGCAGTGTGTGTGTATATATAAATATATATATATAGATATAAACTTCATGTGTATCATAGATAAGCATGCACATAGGGAAACTAACATTGCACTATACTGCCATCTACAGCTCAAAAGACATATTGCAGTCAGTAATACAATCAGTACATATCAGCATATGCTGTTGCATTTCCAACACAAATAAGGTCCAGTATTGTAAATAGTTAGGGTATTTGAATGCATTTTTAAGATTTACTTTCTGAGTTTAGTGTAACAAAAAACAAACAAACTTTGTCTGGATTTGTAGACGAAGCAGTCTGCTACCTTCCTGCAGCCATAGTGGCATAATGCTCATTCTGCTGGGCATACAGTGAAAGGTTGGGTTTGTACACTGCCTTCCTCACCTGTCTGTGTGTAGCATGATCCTGTCCAGAAGAGGGCGAAGTTGCCCGGCTGTGGTCAGAATGCCGGGGATGCCCAGAATCTCGGCTGCCATATCGGTCACACGAGTAAAAGCGCTGTTTCTCTGATGAGGATAGCGGTTGCTGTTTACGTTCCTGGGACCTCCCTCTCTCCTGACGCCTCTCCCCCCTTTGCGTAGCTTCTGCTGATAGCAAAATGCATTACGTTTAACAAGCAACTTTAATCAGCTTTGTGACATTTCACTACTAAATTGAGGGAGCTGAGTATAAGAAGCTGGTGGGTAACTTCACCCAAGCCCAGGTTTCTACTAAAGCCTCTACATCAAGGAACAAAAACAGATCTTTACCCGGGTCGTCATTCTGTGGAGACCTCTCCATGGACTTTTGTTTTCTCTCTTTGCGCCGGTGACATCGGTGGTGGTGCTGATGGCTGCGGTCATGCGGCACTCTCTCTAAGGAGTATTCGTACATCTGAGGCCGCTGTGGGGGAGTTAGCGTTGACACAGAGCGTTTCATTGGACTGGTATCCGTTATAGGCTGCAATGACAATGCACAAACACTCAATAAAATCAAAGATAGAAGGCACTGTTGCTTTGTTAATTATTGTTCATTTAGAATTACAGTATAATGTTAACATTATTTTAAAGATACATATTTACAAAGTTATATATACAAATACAAAGTTACATATTTTACAGACGCTGGATTGATATTTTTGGGTCTTTATGGAGAAAGCCTAATTAGTCACATTCAGAGATAACTATGTGACAGTCTAATAGGATCAAAAGCCAAGGATCATCGGAAGTGCAAGCCTGGGAGTCAGTGGCTCCCCGGATGCACTCAGGAGGCACCATATACCGCCTGCTTTTCAAAGCTGGCATTTGTCTGTCTGAAAGGTTATTTAAAACAAACCTGTTTTAAGAATTGAATGCCAAAACCAGCCCCCCCCC